CAGAGATGGCCACTAATTATAGACCAGTGGCCATCTCTGGATCCAGTGACGCTTTCTTCAGGACCGGTCGGACTACCGCCTTCTTTAAAGGGGCAGGTACCTGACCCTCCCTCAGAGAAGCGTTAACCACTTCCAAGATCCAGATCCCAATCCCGTGCTTGGTGTTATTTATTAACCAAGACAGGCAAGGGTCCAATAGGCAAGTGGTGGGACGTACTCATCCAAGCACCTTGTCCACATCATCAGGCCACAATAACTGAAATTCATCCATTAATTTTGGACCAGACAGCGACATTGGTATCTCCCCAGAAGCCTCTGAATCACTAGTAGAGTCTAGCTCCTGACGAATCTGAGCGATTTTCTCCCTGAAATGCTTGGCAAAGTTGTCACAGCGGGCCTTCGAGGGTGGAACCTGATCTTACTTAGGGCCAGGACAGACCAGCCCTTGTACCACCTGAAAAAGCTCCACTGGATGGCATTTTGAGGAGGCAATGGAAACGGAGAAGAATTTCTTTTTCACTGCCCTCACCGCCACAGCATAGACCCGATAATGGGCTCTTAGGTGTGTTCGGTCAGATTCATCCCGTGATCTCCACCTACGCTCTAGACGTCTCCCGGCCTGCTTCATCGCCCGCAATTCAGATGTATACCAAGGGGAAGAGTGGGCTCTGCCTGGCAGGAGAGGACGCTTAGGAGCGATCGTGTCAACAGCCCTAGTCATCTCCCTATGTCCTAGTCAACAGATTCAGCAAAATAAAACAGCCAATGTAAAAATGTCTTACCTGACAAATTTTTTCTTTCTGTCTTCTGTGAAGGGATAGAAGAGGTGGGTGTAGGCAGTTTTGATAAGGAAGATGCTCCATTTGCATCAAATGATTTCTTTGGCTGGTGATCAGACTGTAGAGAAAATGGACTAGGAGGAACAGAACTTGGGGTAGTAGAAGGGTGAACCACTGCTTTGATGGGATGTTGTACTGGGGTCGAACTACTGTGAGTCTCTGATCTTGGCAGTCTGTAGTCTCTGTCATTATGTCTGCTTGTTTGAGACAAAATATTCTGTGGGAGCATATTAGCGGCATCACTGGAATGCTTCTCTTCCACTTTTATCATTCACAATATAGCAACAAGAAACAAAAAAGACCAAGTTAGAAGTGTAATACTAACCAAATAAACAGCCACATTTGTATTACTGGGTGTTTTCTTTTCTACCTCCAATTACCAATAATTGCACATTTTAATTTGGTAATGCTTTCTTGGCAAATAGCACAATGAAGAGATTCAATGCAAGTTGTTATGCTTATTCACATTGTCCAACTAGGATCCCAATAACACATCTCAAAATCAAGTCCTTCAACTTCAGGATCATGTGTACTACTCCAATGATAATACTAATATAGTTACACAGAGGCTGTGCTTTCACTTTATGTTCTCTTTGACAAGCTACCACCAGAAAGCCACAAGTGCTTTTTGCTCATGCCAGGATGTGGTCAACAGTTCACTCCTTATTGGACAAGAAAGATCCAAGGCGGGGGCAGGAGGACCTGTCTCTTCTCAGTGTCCTCAGTTTCCCACGCATTCCAAGATGCTATGAACTCAGGAAAAGTGAGAGCCACCCCAATGAAAGGAGCACAGAGATCTGACATCTGTCAAAATTCAGGGTTATTTTTAAAAGGGGGTTTCTGAAAGGGCTAATTATTGATGTTTTACAAAGACAGATTTAAACATTACTCCTAAGTAGCTACGCCAAAATCCCTGTTTTAAAAGGAAGCCTGAATTTTGACCATTTCCATAAATGGGGTGGCTTGCACACTTTTGATTTCCCTGCAACCTGAGTCTCAAGAAAGGGTGGAAAAATGCAAGGATGCTGAGAAGAGTCAGGTCCAACCAAAAGAACTGGAATACCTTGTCTTGAAGGTGATGATCTCCAAGCCATCCCCCACTTCACAAGCAAAGATCACTAGTGATTTTGTTCACCTTTCGGCAGCTGTCAACATAGCACAAATTTTAAAAATGGACTTATTTGCCCCCTCTCTGGGTCAATGTCCATTACTGATGCCTGCTCCACTTTGACAGGAGACATATCCCAAGACATTGCCCAAACAAGCCCTCCCATTTTTCCCAGGAAGGACACATGCCCACAAATTCAATTTAAAAATTAAAAAAGATGAAAAGCTTTGCACAAATCACTTGCACTTAAAAATACTTTGGCAAAACAGGTAGTAAACCAATTACAGTCCCTCCAATGTGCTGCCTGGCCACTTTGGAGGAGCTGTTACTGGGTGTCAACTCAGGAGGTCATAAAAGTCAGGGATGGAAAAAGAGAAAAAAACTACAGCATGTGAAAAAGGACTTGCAATTGAGGCAGGAAACACTGAGCAGTTGTCAGTAGAGCTGGACCAGACAGACTTGACAAGAGCACAGCAAGAGGCTTTTTCAATCTTCTAAAGTAGTTTGCTTGCCACTTTCCACAACCCATGATGGGGTTGGCTACATGAGTTTGGGTGTTGTAACCCACTGTGAAATCAGCAGTTCCAAGAACAAGCCATGGGGTGACAGGATGGTTTGTTGCCCTCAAATAAGGGCACCCTGCAGGAAGTGATCCAAGTTTGCACAAGGACAATACACATTAGTTTGTCAACTAAAATGATTGTCATACTATGCAAACCCATTCACAGGGATGATTTTTAAAAGATATACAGTCTACTCTGTGCACATCTATAGGGAATAATGGCCATTAAGTTCAATGAGACTGATTCTGAGGGAATTATGAAGCTCACGAAAAATAAACAGACAATATCTTATCATAATTTCTGGATTATCACTTCCTTAAAATGAATACATACATAAAACTAAAACCAAATAAAAAACACAAGCCTGGGTCTCAACCCAAACAGAAGACTTGGATAAGCTGGACAGCATCTATTCACTTTGCTGAAGAGCAATCTTAAACTGTACCTTATGCTGCCATTTAAAGCTGCAAGTTGAAAAAGACATTCATAATTGTTTGTGGAAGGGCCATTGGACAAACCAAGAAAACAACTATGTGTTAGAGCTCTAGCTTAAATAGTATTCAAAATGCAAAATCTAAGAAGGGCACTGTATTATTCATGTTAATTGAATAAATCTCAGTATCTATACCAGGAATGGTGAACCTTTTAGAGACCGAGTGCCCAAACTGCAACCCAAAACCCACTTATTTATCGCCAAGTGCCAACACTGCAATCAAACTTGAAAACTGAGGTTTCAGTTTAGAAAAAACAACTCACAGGCAGTCAAATCGATATCTATCTATGTATCTATCTGCGGCAGCGCACTGACTAGCCATGCGAAAGCTTGGACGAGTTGCGGCTAATGAGTCACGGCTCGTGGTCTCATCACCTGGCGCTGCTACTCCTTTCCGAGCATGCACATGGCCCCTATGTGCTCTGTTATCTGATGCTCGGATGCTGGGGTGACTTGGTTCACGTGCCGACAGAGAGGGCTCTGTGTTCCCGCTGTGGCACGCGTGCCATAGGTTCACCACCACTGATCTATACAAAATTCAGACCTAGTTACACCAAAGATCAGTATGCAAAAAAACAAATATGCATAAAGCTTTGACATTTGTAAAATGTGTTCAACATAAAAAAGCACTGAAACTGGCAAGGGAATAATTTTAATTGTATTAAAGAATACATACTTCCACTAGCAAAACCACTAGCAGCAGTTGCTTGCATCACCTCTCTTCTGTAATCTCTGTCTTTTGGGAAACTGTTGACAGACATTTTGCTTGCTTCTTTTTGTCTCTGCTCTCTAAAGTGGAAAAAATCAAGCAGTTAGAAATCATTTCAAGAGCACCATACTACATTACACCAACCCTCCCCAACTTGGTGCCCCCAGATATTTTGAACCACAACTCCTAATATTCCCAGCCACTTGCCATCCTGATTAGGACTAAGGGGAGATAAAATCCAAAACATCTGGAGGGCACAAGAATGGAAAAGGCTTCACTGTAATTATCATTAAGTGTTTACCTTTCAAGCCATTCTTTTGGTTTTTCCCACTGTGATACTTCTGTTCGGCAATTATAGTAGTACTTTTTGCCAGAAGAACTAATGTGCTCAGACCAGTCATCTGCAGAATCATAGGACTTGGAAAAAACAGTGATCAAATCAATGCAATACACTATATAAATAACATCTTTCAAATTTGGGGGTTTAATGTATATTTCAATAAAAACACTATTTTCAGGAGAAATTCAGTAGTGCACAATGCATGTATCATTTAAGAAATGTCAAATTCAGCACTGATGGATTTAGAATATGGGTTGAGAGTGAGTTGTTAATGCACCATGTGGATTATAGCATTGCCTGAACCCAGTCAAGATAATGAATCATGGTTTGTTAGCCATATGCAATGCACAAAGAGAATCCATGGTTTATATTAGATGTGAATTGTGGGTTGGTATTAACTAATCATAGTTCATTAGCAGAGCTCAGTTCAGACAACATAACCCACATTTCAACAATTTACAATTCAACAACAACACACACTCATCCTGCAGTCAACCTTGAATGAGGGATTTGTCAGAACCAAGACAAAAACTGATATTAATAATATGGTACTTCACAAGTTTCCCCTCATTTACATCCCAGCCATGAAATCTGTATGCATTTCCCAGTCAAAACATGCACAGAATGATCATTATTTTAAATAATGGTGGCAGATCAGGAAAGAGCAAATGGGACAACAGCACCAGTTGGACTTACTGACCTCATTCTAAAGTAGTCCTATTCATTGTCCTCTCTAGGTTTTCTAAATAACTGTAAGTTCAACATTTGAAATTGAGAAGATTAAATTGCTAAGGGGAGAGCTTGATGCTACTTCCTTTTAGTGCAGCTACTTCTTTCCCTGTTAAAAGTGATTTTCAATTGACAGGTCACAACAATGCACAAATTAGCCTACATGCAATCTTGCTGTGTTAATTCTCAACATTATCACCCACACTTTGCTCACTTAGCAGTTGAAACTTACAAAGATATTGACCAGGCAAATTATGCAATTGTGTAGCTGTCAGTGTGCACTTGCATATCTCCAATAATTGATCTTTTTTACTCCAAAAAAATTACAAACCAAACCTCACAATGTTTGTTTGTTTGTTTGTTTGTTTAAAACATTTCTATGCCGCCCCCATCGCAACAAAGCCTCGGGGCAGCTCACAAAATGTTCTGGGCTTTGGTGAAGGCAATGGTGTATTGATTGGGTGGAGGAGATAAAGACAGGTTCTGACACAAAGGACACTGAAAATACCATTTGGAAATCCAAAGAAGAACCCAACTCACCATGACTTATCTGCAGAACTGCTCAGCATCTTGTGCTGAGCAGCTCTCGTGTAGCTGCAACAGCACACCTGTTTCCCCTTATGGTTCTTAGATATGTTCTACTGGCCATAGGTATGACCCTTCTACCATATCACATTCTGTCAATATGTCTGACACTGACACACACACACACAGAAAAGTAGAAGCTTCCCCAAATCTCCAATCATAAACTCAAGACAATATGCAAGAGAGCAAACTCCTGCACACACACAGTGTTTTGAAATCAAATTCCAAGTTTATTTTTATAGAGGTTCTTCAAAACACAATATGAACAACCCTGCTCTGATTTCTATTTAGTCAAATCACCCAGAATTTCAACTTCTGATTACTGAAAAAGGTATACCACCTATACTTTAATTAAATAAAAGATATTTAGATAAATTCATGATCAATACTTACTGCATCAGAAGTTTTGTTTGGATTATTGCTAGGATTAGAAGAGTGTGAATTTGAGCTATGAAGGGCACTGTGATTATGAGAATTTTCTTGTGGAGAGTAACTGGTCCCTAGAAAAAAAAAAAAACAATTAAAAGCCTTTATTTATTTTCATGTTCAAATGATACATCTTTACTACATTTTGAAGAAAGTGACAGGCAAATGTATAGGCTTGCATTCAGTTGTGTGATTTCACCAGGGGAAGGGAAGTCACTGACAGAAAAAACTTTCCCCTTTTCCCTGCCAATTCTCAGAGCTGGGGGATTCCACTAGAGCAGATTTGGAGTGAAAGGACAAGGCTGCAGCTGGAGCAGAAGAAATAAAAATCCTGCTCTGGGGGTTCCCTCATTGTTGGATTTCACATATAACCATCACCTGTCTTCAGTAGCATTATAATGTGTCTAAAGCAGAGTTCAAAGCACAATAAATACATTTATCACTAACAGATGCATTATAAGGAGGAGATACTCATTTTCTGAGTTTTTTCAATAAACACAAGTTGCTAGTTTTTTCAAGGTTACACTGAAGTATACATACTTTTTCTAAGCAATATTGACAGTTTCTATTTTCAACTTTTTTTCTATTTTTCTCACTGTCATGTACTTAGAAATATTAAATTACTGATCACCTAAATGAGCTAAGCAGCAGGCCCATGAGTCAGAACTAGGATCATAACTGCAAAAGCAAACATCATAAATGCATGTTGTTCATTTGTTCTTTCAGAGCTAAGGCCAAGACATTGATGCATACACAAGTTTCATAGATGGGATCCATAAAACCCATGGTTTGACAGGTGAGTAACAAATACAAAAGAAACAAACAGGGTTTTAGAATAGAACTAAGGTCCCCTAGCTCATGAATATCAAACAAGACCAGCCTAGAGAATAAAAGGCAGCAGTGATAAAATTTAATATCCAAGCCATAGCCTGTTTTTCTCCAAAAAACCTCCAATAATGTAACTGGCTCCATCAGACTACTGTTTTGCTAAACAACAATAGATACATTTAATAGTTGTGAGACTTGGATCAAGTAGTCATAGCAATTAAGTTCCAAAGAAACTAAACATGGCATTCCAGACCATTTCCAGGACAATGCACTTGACATAAAGAAGAGGATTAAAAAGAGCATACTAAGTGGGGTCAGAAACACCTTTAACTATAAGAGGAAACATGACACTCTCTGCAAGCATGCACAAACATATTATATGCACACTTAATGCAGTTACCTCATTTGCCATGAGAAATGGGTTCCCATTCTTTCCAAAATCTAGCAGACTCTAATATATGATAGCAATAAGAAGTACAATATATCTAAAATTAATTTTGGTCCTGCTAATTAAGGGGCATGCATTTCTATCACTTTCATTGATTTCTCTTTCTTTAAATGAAACTATCAATATGCTCACTTCCCATCTCAGCACTTCCAAACTTATCAAACTTCTCCATTATAAAAAGCACAAGTGGTATTAATGTAATGTTGCCATGGCAACATTGTTCTGGGACAGAAAACATCTAACACTAGCATATTAACTGGTAACTGTTATATGCTAAATCAAAAAAAAAAGCTAAAAAATAGTAACCACATTAATAAATTTAATTTAAAAGGAAACTTGTAGAATTAAAAAGTACCCCATTAAAAAAACCAGCAAGCATATCAAATCTCTTACAAGTAATTCTGTGGCCATGTAAACCAGAAAAGGCAGCTTATAGGCAAGGACATTTGGAGGGCTACAACTCCCACTAACCCTTATAACTGGATATGCTGACTCAGGTGTGATGAGAGCTGTGCACCAAAACATGTGGAGGGCTGCCCACCCTGCTCTAAACATACAATGATCCAGGGCTAGAAGAATGCAAGACTTCCTATCATGCTTACTCATGACAGCTGATGCACCAGCTTAAACCATAACTAATCTTAACCTTGGCTTCCTCTTAACCAGGGTTTGAAAAAAGCATCTGAAATAGGTGCAACTTAAAAACAAGTCACAGCTAACATCTGTGCAAAACTGATGAATTAGATATGTTTAGATGCTCTAACATCTCCAACCTTCTGCAATTTCCCTGCCCAGTACCTACAGCATTCAATTCCACAACACTGTGCAGCATTTTCAGGAGCTGCTATTCCACACAGTGAAATATGCTTCCAATTCAATAACTATGATTAAAGTTATGATTAAGTGGGGAAGGAAACAAGCAAGCATACAATCTGATACTTCATTTTAAGGATACAAATGCTCTAGCAAACTAAGTTGAAATGGCTCTTTCATAGAACAAGCCATGGGAAATCAGCCATTTTAAGTATAGACAATATAAACCAGGTATTTATTGTGTATCTACAGAACAGGGACTGGCAAATAATCACTCAGGCAGAAGAGGCCCTTGTACCTGGTTTCATTACATGTATCTCACTGAAAACAATCTAGTAACGCCAAGTCATCCATACTCTTTTTTTGCTTCCACCTACTACATTTTGCAACTTATTTTAAGTTGAAAATACTCATTATATACCAATTAACACTCTGAAGATTTACTTCCTCTTAACTGTTCGTCCCCCTGATAAGTATAGCACACAATCCAATAAACTGCTGGGCACTGGTTTGCAAGAAAATGGATCTATACATATCTTTTTATATGTACATAAAAAAGCAGACAGCAATCCATACCATTCAATTCATTTTGTAATTAAATGTGCTAGTATCCAAAAGCAGTTTGGCACAAACTGTAGATTTTATAAGCAATATTTAATTTAGGAAATTATTATTCAACTACAGCCTCAGCCTAGTCTAAGAGTTGACATAGTTGTGGGTTTATGTAATATGTAGTTACTGTAATCCTTCTTTTTCATGGAATACCTGATATGTAATTTGATTTTAAATCTAAAATCCTTGGCAATCTAAAATTCTGAATTCAATCTGCTCCACATTAAATTTAAGTCTGAACAGCTCATTTTTCTTAAGGAACATTGACATTAATATGCACTTTATTACCACTACATAATACAAATTTAGGTAGATCTAGGAAGATTTGCTGCAAGAAGTTTTAAAGCTTTTATAAATGTGCAAATGCACAGTAACCTGGAATTACTGACAGAGAACAAGTATGAACTTGTGGAATTCTGAAGTGTGCAACTCAGAAAATGGTAGTTAAACACTAACTGAACATAAATACCCATTTGTTACTACTTACGATGTGGGTATCCCTCAAGATTCTACTTTGACAAAAGCATTGTACTATATATAGCCTTGTTATCTGGCGCACACTGCCCTTAAGAAACAGGGAAAGCTGTAAAATACTGGTACATATAAGTTAAATTTCTCATGTAACAAAAATGGATTGGCCATCTTTTCATATTTAATAAAATCCTCAAATAATTTTGAATGAATGTTTTGAGGCTAAAAGGATAGGATTTAGAGGATTACAAAGTTTTATGTAAACAGTTGTTCTGACTACACCAGCTTTCCCAACCTGGTACCTTCCATAAGCATTGACTCCAATTCACAGCATTTCTGTACAATGACCATGCGGTTGGCAATGATGAAAACATCTGGGCAACAGGTTGGAATGACAGTGCTTTACATATTTAAACTTTGGACAGCCCATGAATTGGATCACTTATGTGCAATCCTAGAGACTCATGACACCATCTGAGAGACCACAGGATTCTTCTGAGTCCCAGCAATGAAATCCTGATTTAGGCGGTCTTCTCTGCTGGTGTGTAAAGAACTGTGCCAGCTACCTCTACAAGTGTAGAAATGTACTTCAGAGAGGGAGAAAAGGGGAGTGCTGGAAAGCAGGAAGGGAGGAGGTTGGGGCCAACTGCCTTTGCAGATACTTATCAGAACCCCAATCTCCTTTCCTCCCACCCCCTGGCATTTTACCTAGAGTGCCAGAAACAACCATCTAGATAAACTGCATGGAACAAGGTGCAGTAGCAGCAAAGATTATTGCCACTGTGCCTTGCTCCAACCACTGGATACACATAAGCCTCCAAATATTACCAATCTGCAGACTTAACAATGTTGACTATCTATAGTCAGCAGGAAGTTAGAATGTGGTAGCCAGAATATACCTCAAGCACATACTTTACCCCAAATATTAAAATTATGCATTAGTTTGAGCTTGCTACATTCTGATTTGCAGCATGTGAAGGTAGAACAGGGCATGTTTTATAGGAAAAAAGTTTGGCATGATTACAGAAATGACATTATTACTACCAGGCATGTACTACTATCAAGCTTGTTTTTCTATGTATAGGAAGGGAGGGTCTGTCTTATCTTGTACTGATAGTGGGCCATAAGCTAAGAATGAAAGAATAACAATTGAAGGCCCAAATCTCAAGATGTTAACTCAGAAATTGGTTCTGCCTATTTTGAGTGACTTGGTTCCTCAAAATCATGTTTTTGATTGCAACAGCTAAATATGTCCAACAGCTAGTAACAAGTTTCAGCTGAATTTGAGATATGAGGTCATTAGGTAGTTTGTCTGTGGGTGTCCTTAAAAACACCCACCAAACCAAACATCTTCCTATTAAAATCTAAAAGAAGCTATTTCACAATATTGAAATGATCTGTATCCTTTTGTAAATCAAGACTATCAGTTCAAACCAGTATTTAGTATCATATCTAAATACTGGTATTAGCTTAGGCAGACACAATTATTTTGATTAGTGTTGACATATTTTAGAAGTGTTTTCATTAGTTATAAAAGTTCTAGTAAGTGATTGTGCACTCATGTAATTCACAAGTAGAAAATGAAATATCTCCCCCATAGCAGATACTGCAGTGGAACTAAATGAAGTTAAACACATTTCTAGGGGAAAAAAGCTAGTGATGACTTAACTTTCTACATTGATTCCAATGGGACTGAAGTGCAACTGAGTTTGGACCCATCAAGCAGTCAACTACAGTTCTCTTTACTGTAAGGAAAGCCGTAATAGTCAAAGGCAAATTATCTACCAGTTTTGTGTTCATTTTTTAAAATAAACTGAAAAAATCTCATCAGGAATAGCACATATATTTTAAAAATTTTAATGGAATGTATGGCTGTCAGTTTCTGAAGTGAAAAATCAGCTG